TGTCAATGGACGAATCCTATATGTAACGAACCTGCAATGCTGAAACCCAACTCTCGAACGTTTTCATGTAAGGGTCGAGAGTAATAAATGAATATTATACTTATATACCACAAAAAGTAGACAAAAACTTCAAAGCAAATCAAACCCATCTTTATATTGATATCAAAACTTATCGGGAGACTCACCTATTCAATGAAAAAAGTTTTTTCCTAGAATAACCTACTCATGTCAAGTTCAAGTTAGAAATTATATAGTAAAGTAAACACACACTTAAAGTTGGCGCACTTAAAGTTGGCGGCACTCTTAAAGGCCAAAAAACCAATACATAGAAATGAACCGGCTGCGAACTAGTCCACGTGGACTATAAAATTGGCGGTTCGTATTGGATAATTTTTACTAATCAAGTTTTATGATTGGCTGAAGTCATAAAATTGAATTTGAAGTCATGTTATGGTGATGAATAGAAATCGAGAATGCGCAAATGGTTATCGCCGCCGTGTCATCAATGTTCAGTTCAGGAACTGATCGCGATTTGAGTGTTGAAATTTGATATTGGTGCAGTTATAGTTACTTAAAATTTTTCTTATCTGTTTAAAATATGGCGTCCTTGGACAGGTACTAATAGTAATAACGAGTGTGACAACAACGCAGACTTTTTCCAGTGTAGTGTTTCAATGTATATAAGAATCTACATCTCAAGTTTGGTTTCGAGGGAAACGAACTATTACAAGCAACATCAGTCTTGACCGAAATTCCTTTCTCAACTGTACGTAAAATAGTCAAAAACAAACCTTATGAACGTAAGACGCGATGTGATACAGAATTACCAAAACCTTTAGAAAATAATAAACAAACGTAGCAGTTATGAAAAGCAGAAGAATAGTGGAATTCCGTAACAAATACTTAGAACAAATAAGTAAATATAGACAAGAACAACGGCAAATTTTCTATTTGTACGAATCTTGGTATGACACTTACGACACAGTTACGAAAGAGTTGACTGATGGTTTGAGAATATGTACGCCTTTTTATTATTCATGCCATCGATTATTTTCTCATTTCTTGTGTTGTGATGAGTTTTAAAAAAATCAAACTGAGAATCATGAATTTTCTGGGACACTTATGCTGCTTTAGTGTCTAGAACAGTGTTTCCCAACCTTTTTTCCTGGCGTACCACTTTACAAGTCAAAATTATTTTGCGTACTACTTAGTCTCGTAGAGGTAATTATAGATGGAATATGTACATTATTTATTATTTTGCTAACCTAACTAACCTATTTTCCAACGATGAGTATGAAAAATAAAATTCTGTGTAGTGTTATAATACTTTATTAATTGTACTATCTGAAAACTGGTTTGAAATATCATACTTCACGGAATAAGGCACAGCTACCTACTCATTATTGCGAAACTCGCCAGAAAAATCAACATATAGTACCTCACATGGCTAAATCGTTTGGTCAAAGGTCATACAGATACATTGCGCCTAAGTATTCTATTCCCAAATTAATAACCGACATCAAAAACATTTTTACTTTCAAGAAAGAATTTAAAAAATACATTCTGAAAATGCCTAGAATAGTAGTCACTGAAATAATCGAAGGAAAATGAAAAATCGTGCGTAGTCCGCACGAGCAACATTTTTTTAAACTTTTGCTGTAGTTCTGAGTCACAATTTAGTTCATACAACCATTCATAATCTGTCGCAGTAAAGTTTTCTTGCGCTATTTCTATATCAACAAACGGGTTTTGGATCGGAATATTTACTGAAGTCTTCAGGAAAATATATGTTGTAGCTTTGAATCAAACCAAGAGTGTGCTTTGATGTCCGTCAGAAGTACAGGACTCAGTTTGAGGTCATTTTCTTCGACGAAATTCTCGAGCGTTGGAAACAGCGACACCTTCTTCAGTTCTGCTTGTTTTGCTGCTTGATTCAGTTTCTTTTTCATAGCACTTACTTTATCATTAACCCGAAAAGGAGTGATATGATTTCCTTGCAGGGTTTGGTTGACCTCATTAAGTTTTGAAAATATCTCTGCCAACGAGCATAGTCTCAGTTCATCTGCAAAGCAGTTTTTTAATTCAAAGTTTTTGTCAGACAAAAACACGAAAACTTCATGGCTCATCTCAAACAAACGTGTCAATACTTTCCCTCTTGACAACCATCTGACCTCTGTGTGCAGCAACAGCTGTCTGTGCAAACCACCCATATCATCACATAATATCGCAAACAAACGGGATTGTAAAGCACGTGCCTTGATAAAATTTACTGTTTTTTACAGCTAGGCTCAAAACCTCCTTCAAGCTATCAGGGCCAATTTTGCTTACCAAAGCTTCTCGATGCAAACAACAGTGCGTGAATGTTGCTTGGGCAGCCACTTGTTTTACTCTAGCTACAACTCCAGCGTGACGCTCGACCATCGCAGCGGCTCCATCGTCGATCCAATTCAGATCATGTTCATTCATAAAAGCATTTAACTTCACGAAAATATCTTCGCTAGTTGTATGTGTCGGTAATACCTCACAAAATAGCATATCTTCATTTACCCCATTACCGTCTTCATACCTAACGTAACACAGCAAATTTGGCATATAGGTTATATCTGTTGTCTCAACAATTTGCAGTGCAAAATATGGAGTGCCATGTCTTTCACTCTCCGTGTTACAGTGTTTTTAGATACAGAAACAACATCAAGCAGCTTTGCTCCTTTATCTCCTGAAATGGAAGAAACTTTATCTTTGGCAGCCGGCAATATAAAAGATTCGCCAATGGGAAAATCAAAAAGTTTTCATGAAAGAGCTCTAAAACAATGCATTTTAAACTTATCATTTCAACCTTTTTCTTTAAAAAATTATTAAATACGTAAAAAAGAGGAATGAAATAATACATTCAACATTTAAAGGGATTCGTTTCTATTTCACCATTTGACAACATCGGTTATAGCTAATAAAGGACAATGAATCTCTTACCTGTATGAGACAAACAAAGATGACATATTTCAGAGGCGTGCTGTTCTGTTTACTTATGTTCCGAGTTCCGAGACATTCTGTGACATATGACATTTTATACACCTAACCTATATTCCTCTATATAAATAAATAACAAAACAACTGTTGTTTATGTAGCTTGTGGAGGTGGTATTGAACTATAATTTATATTTTGCGTTAATTTGACCCTATTGACATGATTTTCCTTCTTCTAGCTTACTAGTAACCTGAACTCCGATCTAGCATTCTAGGCGCTGTTGCCAATATGTGAATTAGAAACAAATCCCTTTAAAAATTGAAATCAACTTGTGAAACATCAATTTGAATACTTTTCGAAGTGAATTTGAAAAACTCATGAATTGAACTCAACTTTATTTTGTTCAAACTTGCATTTGTTGTAATAACCCAAATTGAGGAACATTCCCCATTGTATATGGCTTAGCTTCTTGGAGATTCTTAAACTAACTTTATACGAGGCTTTAACTGCCCTGGCGTACAAGTATGAAAATGAGCTCATTGTAGTTTTGCTCCCTTTGAGCTCAGGTTTTCCTTTCAAATTAGTGTGTTTTGCATTAAAACGCTTCATGAGAAGTGAAGGTTTCATACTATGTTTGGATAGTGTTTCCATACAAACAACCCACTCTGGAATGGGCTCATTCATATCCCCAGTATAAGTAAACCCAAAATTGACTTGTACTAGAAGTAATTCTGGATGATTGAATGCTAGTTGTGGCTGCATTTGATTCAGTTGACGTTCCGGTATCCTCAGTAACACTGTCAACAGTTTTCACATCACTTCCACTACTTTTAAAAAGTTCAAGTTTAGAACCACTGGTTGAAGGACCAGGTTGGCAACGATTTGAAAACTATCCATATCAACTGTGTCAAAGCAAAGAGCGAGACAACACTAAACTCAACCAGACAAAACATTTAGCATTGCTACGCGTGGCGACTACAACTGTACTGTTACTGTAACAGGGTCCTACAGTTAAACAAACTGAAATTATAAATGATCATATTGGAATGTATAACGTCACAGCAAACGACACAAAATTATTTTCTAAATGGCCATATTTTCCATACAAAAATATGTAACCAAAATAACAACCTTGATATAAAAATAGAATAATGACATATGTTTTAAAATGGTATTAAAATGGTCATTAGAAAAACATTTTCAAAAAATATCACCTACCTCCTAAACCATAAATATCGCTTTGACACTTAGACAGTCGATTAGAACCTCGTCCATTATCTTTCCTGTGATTTTCCGCGATTCCATTTCTATCTGGAAAACCGGGCGCAGCCTTTCCTTCGACTTCGAAAGTTTTTCTTTTCGGGTCTTCGAAACTTTCGTCGGGAATTTTAACGAAATTATTTTGTTGTCTCTTCCTGTCTCGACGATTCACCGAATTGAAACTCGAAGAATTATTTTTGTTGAAGTTGTCCGACGTGTCGCTCCTGATGGCAAAACAGAAACAATTCTTTAAAAATGATACAAAATGTTTCACCGCGAGCTCGATTGCTGTATGGAATGAAAAGCTGCGGTGAACTTTCAAAGGATATCGAGTTTCAGAGAAATGAAATGAGAGACGTAGAAAACTTTTCGAATGGAAGTTTTCAAGTGTATCTACAATATTAATATTGAAAATAATAGCGACTTCAGGTTGTACATGCGGAAAAAAATAGGCGTATTTTTACAGTAAATCATATGCACAACTTAATTTTCAATATTGTAAATTATAAGTTAACGTAGTTGAGTATGTATTTCATTCAGACATTTTAAATTGTCGATAATTAAATGTGAACTAGTTCACATAATGCATCAAGGTTCAATTATAAATTTACATGATTAGCAGTGAAAATAAATCACACAACATATTATCTTAGGATGCACATGCTCTGTAACTAACCTCCTTAAAGTTAGCAAGGCAACTCGCAGTAAAATTATTGAAATATACTTTTTCAATTGTCGAATAATTGTCGAGAATTTGTCGTGAAAGAAAAATAATTGTCGCGCATCTCCTTTTTTTATAAGGGGTAGCTCTGCTAACTTGATATAAAGTTAGCACAGCACCTGCAGTAAAATTTTTAATATAACTAAATTATTAAAACTTTCATTACTAGTATTTGTCGAATAATTGTCGTAACCCAATCCATATCAAGAAATTTCCTGAAACGTATTTTTTTGGAAAATATGCATTTTTCGTGTCATACCTTGTTGTACTATATGGATATTTTGAACCATATGGCAACACCGCAACAGATGTATTTGATTTCTTCATATATTTTTTAAAAGGATCAACAGTGAAAAGTGCTGAAATAAATTTGTAATGTATCTACGTGAAAATTATCGATACATTTTTTTGTTTCATCAATTTTTGTAATCCTATAATCATGTCGATTATTTTTTGCAATTAGCAACCTATTGACCAATTGTATCTCATTCGACAATCGTTTATAAATAATTAATTATTTTTTTTTACAAAAGACAACTTATTGATCAATTGTC